ACTCTTTTCTAACCAAAATTGGTTTTTGTTTATTTTTAAAAATTAAGTCTGAGACATTGTATGTGTATTTTTGTGCGTTAAAGTAAAATAAAGTTGCAAAATTGACTAATTAGAACACAGATATACCTTATTCAGAAAAACCAATAAATAAGACAAAGCCAGGGAGTCCTATCTACTTTATAACTCAAATCTTTAAGAAGATCTTATACACTGAATTTTCCCCTCACTCCTAATTAAACTGTTATTCATAAGAGTAGGGACTGTGCTCCTGTATCAATTTCCATATTCTTAATGCTCGACATATAGGAGGTAAAAAGTAAGAGTTAGATTAGTATTTAAGTAATGAATTAATTAACTAATTAATTAATCTCAACTCTATCCCTTGAGCTACCCTATCGTCAGCCACAGGCCTTTGCCTTCACCATCAACCCTCAGCAACTTAAGAGGTTCTCACACTGGTACCCTAGAATCCCTCCGTAATGATTCGCTTCCATTATTCACCTTGCCAATCGGTATCTAACCCTGAGCAAGCGCCATGGTCTGCTTCCCTCACTTCTGATTCTAGCTTTAAGAGGTCATCACAATAGAAAGTCATTGTCTTCCCCACATGCCAAGTTTCTTTGCTCAGCAATCCTTTTGTTACCTTAAGATAATGTTTTTCATTTATTTCTTCCTTTATTCATGTATTCTCCCTCCCCCCCCACCCCCGGGACTAGCAGAAAGAGTTGAATTCTCCTAGATAGGCAAGTTCTTCCAGGACAAGGAAACAGGAGAAACAAAGATGGGAAAGGGATATTGGGTGGGGATCAGGTGATTGAGGTGAGATGGCAAGAAATGGCTAGATAGGCAGGAAGGGACTGGACCCCTGGAGGTACGCTATGCAGAGGAGTTTCAGATTTTACTGTAAGAGAAGGGGAACCATTGGGGAATTTGATATGAGCAGATGTGCCCCCGAGAAAGGTCACTTTGGTAGCAATGTGGAAAATAGCCTGAAAGAGGGAGGGAGGTAAATAGCATCAGGGAGACCAGGAAGAAGGGAAGAAGGGGAAGGATCAAGTCAAGGAACATGTATAAAGGACCCACGGACAAGGACAATGGGGGAGATGAGCTGAATGTTGGGGGAGCAGTGCAGGGGAGCGCATGGGAGAAAAATGGGGACAACTGTAATTGAACGACAATAAAAATATTAACAGAAATGTAAGTTCAGGGGAAAAAATTCTGGAGGCTTGAAACAGGAGGAATAGTGGGGATGAAGCAATGGGTTCAAAATATATTTCAGTTGTAGGAGTGACAGGGCCTTGTGACTGACAGGACACGGAGAACAGAGGAGGGGCATCCTCAATAACCCCTAGCCCTCCGCCTTCAGCAGCTGTCACAGGCGTCCCTGGGGGTTTCACATCTCCACGATCGTTCCTAAATCTCACTTACACCCTCAGCTCATGCTCTGCAGGTGCCCTTACTTCAAATATTACCATAAAAAAAACAATCAAATTGTCAAAGGTAAACTGCTATCACCTGGAAATGCTCAAAATGTTTTCTTAATCTACCCATCATTTTCTTTTCTTGACTTTCCAAAATCAATCCTTTTCATTTTGTCTTTCTAAAAATTATACTTGTTTCCTTGATCCTCTCTCCCTTAATGTACATTTTTCCCCTTCGATATTTCTTCTCTCAAAGAAACTTTCTCTTGAACCAGTCAATTTCTTAAACTACCATCTCATGTTCTTCCTGTCAACAGTATCAATTTCCAAAAGTCGCCTACCCCTGTTGTAGATACTTACATATCTCCAACCCAGCCCTATTGTCTGGTTTCCGCCATTTCATAGGAACTACTTCCTCCAAAGTCCCCTGTGACAACTCAATTACCTGATGTCACCTCCAGCCCTAGACTTCCTCTTCATTGACTGCTTAGGGAATGGACGCTGTCTTTGCCACCTCATCCTTCTGGCATGCCTCCTTTTCCTTAATTTTAATGGTCTTAAGTTTCTCCATTTGCTTCTTAGCCTGTCATTTGAATCTTTCTTTCCTTCCATATTCCTCCAACCTTTTAATTGTTGAAACTTTCCTGGAACCTGTCTTTGATTCTCTCTCTTCTCACTCCCATGACTTCAAGTACATGTGAAGAGCTGCTAGCATTACGACCCCTTCCACTCTTCACCTTAGACTCTGTCTCCATATCAGTCAGTTATTTGGTTCTGTAAATTCTCTCTCTGCAGTTTTCAAATATGTTTGCTCCTTTACATTTTGACAGCCACTAGTGGAGTGGCTGACTTCCCCATTGTTTCTCATTTATCCTTCAATACAACTGATGTTACAAAATGCTGCCAACGTAATCTTTCTAAAAATCAAACAAAAATCTGCTCAAAAATCTTGCATGTGATCCTTAGCATATCCTTAAAAATGACCTTCCAACTATACTCCAGCATCTTCTACGTTAAGGACCCACCATTCCTCCCTCATTTAGCTAATCCTGCCTTTTCCTTGTTTCACATCCTCAGCGCTCTTCTATTTCTGTCTTTTGTTCATATCACTCTCTTGTTGCACACCTCACTGCTACCTCTACCTATTGATATCTGTCTCTAAGGCCAAGACCAACTACTATCTTTCAAGAAACGTTTGGCAATATCTTGAGTTTTAAATTCCTTTTTTTCCTCTTCTCCATGTTTATGGTCCTTTTAGCATTCATCACATATCTTTTATTTGAGGGATTTTTACATTTTATCTCCTTTATTAGTGTATCAGTTTCTGGAAGATACAGATAATGTCTTTCCATATCCATCTCCCGTATGCTTTGTACATAGTAACACTGGTAAACATTTGTTGAGCTAATTTTTCATAGTATGTACTTTCTATCTAAGATAGACTTTCCAATAGGAAATATGGAAAAATGATACTGGGCCATTTTTGCCTTTGTTTCCTAAGGTTTACTGGAGATGGCAAAAGCCTTAGATAGCAGCTTCTTCCCCGTGACAAATTTCACTTAAACTTTACCTATATAATATTTAGTCTGCTATATTTTTATATGTCATTAAGGATTAAGCCAGAGCCTTTCTTCATGAACCAAAAATTAAAAGAGTTTTACAATAAATATGGACAAAAGTATAAGGTATAAGTATGAACAAATATCTGTTATAAAAAAAATGGCCCTTAAGAAAAAGAAAAATGTGTACTAAGCTGAGGTAAAATTTCAGGTTAACCATCCTAAAATCTGACTTAGTTACTATTTTATTTTCTAAGCAACTTATGAGAACATATGAAAATGTTTCACCATTGATTCACATAGAATTCACCATTATTGGTTTCTTAGGGTCTACATTTAAAATATCTAGCACAATACTTCCAATATCTGGGATTTCACTTTATAAGATTTCTATTTGATTTAACAGTATTTTACAGAATTCTTACAGTCAGATATTTAATTGAAGATATGAACCTGATCATATTATCTACTAATGCACGTATTGGAAAGAAGTAGGAAACACAAGTCAAATTACTAACTAATTTTACATGATATGTAAGTAAAAAAAATATTAAACTGAAACATAAATTCAGTGTAATAACAACTGTCATAGGAAACTATAGCCTAATAAAATATTTAATCAAAAGTCATAAAATAACTATTACATACTGCCACCACACAAGAAGTGCTCTGAGACAATCTAAAGTTTAGGAAAAGGAGCCAAAAATATTAAAACTACTTTTTGTTGTTGCTACTATGATTAAACACTATTAGGATACTAATACTAGTTTTATTAATATGGTAAACATTAATATTTTAACATATATACCAGGAATGCATGTTAAAAGTGTTTGACAGGACTCAAAAACACCCTACTGTGTTTCACAGTTTCATAGAAACACAGTTTTTGTGTTTTGCTGAATACAATTCTTTTTTTGATGGATCCAATATATTATCTGTTTCATCTGTGAGTAAGTGAAGGACAGGGTTGGGGTTAAAAATTTAGTCTTTTTACTCAGTGAAAAATTAAGAACATGAAAGGTAAAAAAAAATTCATAGGGAAATGTCCTCTAAATAGTGGCCTTTCTGCAGTGCCCATGAGGTCCGATTCGGGTTTTGTTGTTGTTTTCCTTTTTTTTTCAGAATAACCAAAAAGGCTATACAGAATTAATTATAATTGTACCTACATTTTTGAAGGAGTCTATTTTTATATTCCTTGCTTTCTTTGAAGAAAAGCAAAATATCAAAATAGCAACTTAGTCATACGAGGACATTTTTATAAAAGGGAATAAAATATTTCCACTCTATAGTGTTTCTTAATCTTCCTACTTAAACGTTTTAGTATATATAAAGTATAAATAAAACAATCATAAACATACAAGTAAATTACTATGCCTCAAAATGAGTTGATTAGTCACTAATTACAATCTGCGGGGCTTCTGCTTCTTTGGGGATTATTATTTCCAAACACCATTTCATGCATTACTTCAGGGTTCTAATACCACATTTACCAGCACACAGTGATTGCTGTTTCACACACTCTATTTCTGCATTTGCAATAAAAGAATATACTAATACGGTCATTACCACAAATAAGAATACTCGCTGTATTCTACAATTCTCAACGTACAAAAATGAAACTAATTAAAATGCAACTCATCTACCTTTTATAGCCAACTTTGTTAATATAGGTGTGAATTGTTAATTAAGGGATGTTGAGCACTCCAGGGACTAAAGAGGCCCTTTGCTTCTTCCATCATACCTGTATCTTTAATTCCTTAAGCTCCTCTCTGTCAGGGAAAGGCTGCCAGGTGAGTAGTTTGTCACTCTTGCCCGGGCTAATAGATTCTCCAGTGGCTTTTGTCACAGCTCATGTCATACTATCAAAACCATGTTCCTTGAAAACGGCATAATATATGTCGCTGAATCTTGTCAACGTAAGATAATCAGACTGTGTGTGGCGTCACAAGCCGACGCAGATGAGAGAGGCGATATGAATATGCAAATCACAGCGGCCCCCTTCCGGCAGCACTGTTCCTACCTCTAATGGGCCTCGCAGAAAGTCTGTTTGTTCAGCTCCTACTTCCAGCGCTACGTCAACAGAAGCAAAGGGACGGCTGGCCATCTGCTGTCGCTCTCGAAGCAGTTGCTGGGGAGAGTTAAAAATGATTCGTTTTAAAAATAGGTTTAAAACCCATTAATTTCAACAGCATCTGGTTTATTTTGAACACATGGCACTTAGAATTTAGAAATCACCTAATACACATATCCACATCTAGATCACTAAAAATGAAAAGAGTTTTCTCTCCACGGCTTGGGTTATATTACCAGTGAGGCTTTAAACGTATGGCGCCTGGAAAGAGCTTCTCGCTGACCTCAGTCCCACCCACAGGTCTAATGAAATGTATTCAAAAGCACTTTGGAAACACCAGATGAGGGGTGTTACTTCAGTAAGAAACGCTATTGCGATAATGGCTATGCCAAGTTTTCCCACTCTGACTCATGCTTTTGTCTTAGCTGAAAGGAAGTAACAGTAAAAAATGTTTTAAAAATGTTAATGAAAAGTTGTCAAAATTAATAGAGGTGAAAGGAACATATACCTTGTAAGACTAAGTCTCTTCTAAGTCATCAAGATTCCCTGTTAATTGCTAAGGAACCAGCAGTTGTTATTGGCAGCACTTACAACTTTATTCAAAGCCTCTCTGTTCATTATTTAAAATGAAGAATGATGAGTATGCTGCAAAAATTTTGTGCCAGGGCTTCACCCCAAGATATTCGTTTCTTTTTCCTTGCGCCTATTCTGGGCTTTGGCCAAGCTAACATCAATAAACTAGCAAGTCTCAACGACTTCCAAGATAATTTATATTTCTGCCCCTCCTTGTAATTACAATATTCATCACGTTATGAGAGGAAAAAAAATTGATGACCAGCACAAGATATTGCAAATCTTGCCCTTCTCATTCTATACAGCTAATAAAATTATTATTAAATATTAAAACTGGATGAGCAATGCAATTAAATACCCTTTCAAATGAGGAGAAAATTGTATCATTGAAGAAAGACAAAATCCTTGAACACAATGAATGGTTTCATTATTCATTGAGATCATTTTAATTCACTGGCATTAACTTAAAACATTAACTGGCCTGTGAATGTAAATGTATATAGTATTGTGATGCATCATTCATAAAATTCCCTTTTAGATGATGAACAGGCACAAGCCAACACCTGATAGCAGTTTATTATTTAGTATTTTGCTCTAACAAATGCTCATAGTACTGATGCTGTTTATGAAATGTGCAGCTAAAATATAATTTAAGAGCTTGTTTTCCCATTATTTAAAAAAAAATTCATGTGCCAATATGGGGTAGAAATAATACAACTATTATGGAGTAACAGTTTTTTCTTAAAATGAATATATCGATATCTATCTATATATGTTATATCTATACACATAAGGATAAAGACACACTAAAACACTTAAAGTAAAAATAAATGTGACCTAAACCACCACGTTATTTGCCTTCATATAAACTCAAAATGATATTATTAAAAACACAGCTGCTTGCAAATAGAATCTTGTTTGTGCCTCTCTCAAAAGGAGTGGCCAATTGAATACTATGTCTGTGTGAATGCACACAATGTTACCTCAAATGCCAAGGGGTACCAGGTGTAGAAAACACCATGCTCTTTGTGGTAAAAACATACATATTCACCAACACACATACAGAACAAACATACACAAATATACAAAGTACCTTTTGCCATAGCGATATGCAAATAGCCTTGAGGAAACTGCAAATTATAGTTTAGGTTTGAACACAAGTTTCTAACATTTGTATTAAAAAGTTTCTCTATTAATATTAGCTCTCAGCTTACCAACGGTAGCTCATATAATTACATGATTTTTTTCGTGTGTGTCTAGTATATATTTTAATATCAAGGACAATAATATAAATGTCAGATAACTCATCCCCTTTCCTTACAATACCATAACCATCTATAATACTCTATGTTTGTGACTTTTTGGGCTTTCTTTAAAAAAAAAGGTTTTTTTTATTATTGTTCAATTGCAACTGTCCCCACTTTCCCCCCATTATTCTCCCCTCCCTCCCTACCCCTACACCTTCCACATTCAACCCTCCCCTGTGCTGTCTTTGTCTGTGGGTCCTTTACACATGTTCCTTAACTTGACCCTCTCCCTTCTATAATTACATGATTTTTAACAAAATGAACAGCTTCTGTTTGCTCATCTTACCTTTCTCCTACATCTAAGAGGTCTATAAAATATAACTAACCAATAGTCGATACCACAAATTGTAATAGAAATCTATAGATATTCCACATTCACTATCTTTGACAAAGAATAGTTTCCCGGAATATAATATATTATTGTGACCCCAACATTCATAATAAAGAAAAATCAGTGACAGTCATATTTTTTTGTTCATCTTTTTATTTATTAGTAGGATACAAAGTATTTTGAAAGATTCTAATTTGTCTTCTGAGCTTTGAGTTTCCATCACTTTTTAAGAATTGAATGCCTACTATAGCACTCTTTGTAAAGAAGAAAAAAAAGAAAACCAATGTTCTTGCCCAGGACCATAACACAACAGTTTATAAACAAGGCATGATAAAATAAAAATAATTAGGGCAGAAGGTAGTGTACAGTGAAGGATACAAATAGGGAATTCGCTGAATGAGTTTACTCCAGGTTACTGAGCAGAGGGCTGGTTCAAGGACTCTGGCTGACATATTGAGTTTATGACTTTGGGAAATTAATGTTATTGTTCTGACTGTGAAACTCAGGAAGGGTAAATCACTTTCTCCTAAAATGCTCTTGCTTCAATGTGACGGCCTAAAATAATACAATGGGATAATATTATTTGCTACTAATTCCTGGCCTCAGTATCGTCCACAATCGTCCTCCCTCTTGCTGGTTAATATCTGTGTGCATTCCTTGCCAAATTTTGCTCCCTCTATGTCAAAACAGAGAAGAGGTAAATAGCAGGCTCATAACTTAAATTTTGTCAAAATCTATTCTAAATACTGACAAGTGATAAAGCCACCCTTGAGTTAGAAGGACCTGTGTTTGAATACCAGTTTTTACACTTACTAGTTGCTTCAGTTTAACCAAATTATTGAGACTTCTCTAAGCCTCGATGTCTCCCACCTGTAAGGTGGGGATATTAACATTGCCTATGCCTACCCCTCACAGGATTGTTTTGAGTATCAGTTTCTCCACTCACTACTTATTGGACAATAACCAAATTACCTTTCAGCCCTTTCTAATGCTTATTTTTTTGTCTCTATGAAAAGGAAATAACAGCACCATAAGGTTGGGACTAAAGAGAGAATGCCCTTGCATGGCTCAACACAGAGGCTGGCACATTGTGAACACCCACTAACTGTTCATTGGTATGATTATTATGTTAAATTTCAAGCACTAATTTTGTCTTTCAAGATGGCACACTAATTACCACAGGCCCATTTTCTTCAGCACTAGTGGCACATTTTGCTCTACTAGTCTCCCTTTTAACAAATGTCGCAAATTCATGTGACAGTTGGAAAATGTCATAATTGTGGTAAAATAAATTTAGATTTGGAACTGATTTCTGTCAATTGCAACTAAGAATGATAAAAACTCAACCTAAGAATTAGGAGAATATAGAGTACTTTCTTCAGAATTTTAAAAAATAATTTATTCGATGATTATGCTTTTTATATAAAATGAAGTTTAACACTTTGTACACACATAAGAAGCCATATAACAGGTGATCTGTTTTACAAAATCCGCTATTGCCAATTATTCAACAGAATGATAAAGCCATGAGAACAAATTGATCATAATACAATAGATTATAATCATGCTGCCATAAACAGTGCTGTGAAGAAATTTAAAAATTAAAGAGATATTTTTAGTATCATGTATGTTGTCCATAACTGTTTTACTATTCAACATCTCTTACAAAACAAATCATAAAATTAAAAATATTAAATTAAAAATCCATACTTAACTATGGCAAACATTTATTCTATCAAATGTATACATATACAATACTTCTTCCACTCAATATGACTACTTCCAATATTGTAGCATTCTCCAAGTTTCATACTACCCAAATTGTCAACTACCTTAAAGACATACAACTCTCTAATAGACTTCAGGATAAAAACCTTTCAAAACACATACAACAAACTGGTAATTAACTCTTTCCACAATTGTCTTCATATTTCCTTCTTACTATGTCTAGGTTCTACCTATCTTTCTCCCACCTCCAAATGTCCTTCTTCTCCACCCTAAGCTTGAAGTGATCATCTTTCTTATGAATTATTTATTAGATTAGTATGACACTATCTCTTTATATCTTCATGCTCCTATGAAATCTTTTTTAATGCAAAAATCTGTTTTTATTTTTTTGTCCCTATAGTACTTAGTTGGGAGTCAACAGTTTTTTTTTTGTTTTTTTTGTATTTTTTTAATTTTTTTTATTTACTTTTTAAATACATTTGTCTCTGCCTCCCCCCCAACCTCTTTCCCTTGCCCCCTCCCACCTTCCCTCCCTCCGCTCTTCCCCTTTGGTTTTCAACAGTTTTTGATGAATGAACAAGAAATGAGTGGATTAAAGTATAAAATTCTGTATCAGCTGAGTGTGAGTGAAGGCAAGTTAAGATAAAACTGATTTTAATTATAAATTAGCCTTTAAAACTATTATGTGTCCTTTAATATTTTAGAATTTATAGCTTATCCGCCAAAGTAGATATTGATTTTTTTAGAATGCGACAATTTTGTGAATCTGTATTTTAAACCAACATCAAGTTTCATATTGCTCCTCATCTACCTTATTGCAATACTGAAAAGATTATGAACTGCCATGAAGTTGTCATAATACATTCATTTTTTAATAAAAATTATATTCTTAAGTTTTTGGAAAAGTATAAAAAGAGCAATCAAAATGGTTTGTCATTAATCTTGAGCTTACATTATAAAATGACAAAGTATTTGAATGAGAGATTAGACAACATCTCACAAGGGGTATTTCTCTTACTGACAAAGTCACATTTAACAGAGTAATTTAAGTAAACAATCAATTGTGTTCTTTAGGTGTTAGGATGGTGTGAGGAAGTAAAGAGAAGTGATAACATATT